ATTCACCAGCGAGCCGAAGGTCCTGGCAGCCAGTGCTCCTTTTTTCGTGTAAAAAAATAATTGTATTATTTTGTATTATTTTTTTTTCACATTTATAAATAAATAAAATAATACATATAATGTATGGATTGATGCAGCTGGGTTTTTCGGAAAGGGTAAAGAGTGTGTGTTAACACAATACTGAGACAATTAGTACTCGTTTACACCGTGGGAAATGCTAAACAAAGTGAAAGTCGTAGTTAATTTTTTGAAATGAATAGTTGTGTGGTTCTATGATAAATGAATTCTTCACCCCAAACCCTAAAGAGGCACGTTACCTTTTGTAGCATGCTTCCTTGTAATACTTGAAGACAAACTTAAAATAAACATTCGCAAAGTATAATTTTTTTCTTCGAGAAATTTTCATATTTTAGTCCAAAGGCATTACCTCTTCTCAAATCGGTTATGGTAATATCGGGAGAAGGAGGAAAATTTTGTATAGTATTGATATGTGTGAGTGTTAAAGACATCATAGATGTTGCCAACATATCTCATTTTCTTTAGCATGTTTGATATGACCGGCTTTAATCCTATCAAAAGAGCTGCACTAATTGCAAATGGAAGTGTGAGTGAAGGCCGCGAGGAGTTACTTTATGGAGGTAATCTCTGAGGCACACTATTCACAAAACCTATTCCGTTAACACCGTTGTTTGCACTTATTTTTTAGGAAATGAATAAGATCTTAAAAGTTGAAGACTAAGCCTCGTTAAAATGTATTTTGAAGTGAAGTTCATAGTCGGGGTCGTAATAGGTGGCGTAAAAATTGAACACTACCATAGAACATTCTATAAAATACTAGTATGCATACGTGTATGTATGTAGTAGTGCATGCTCTCTAAAGTTAAGGTTTGTAGAGATCTAAGCTTATGCTCATATTTACTTGCAATAATTACTTAATATTTATTTCTGATAATAACTAACTCACTACGCTACACTTTGCCAACAAATTATACTACTATGGGCAAAAAATAGTAAGACTTTAGTCACATTATTCMAAGCTCTCAATTTATTTTTCAAAATCTATGTCGTCCCTCTAAAAGTAATCAGCCTTGGTCCCAATACACCTGTTTTTCCAATTCTCGAAACAGTTGCTAAAGTTAATTTCCGGAATAGTCTCCTGTACGCGTAGCGCTTCACGTCGCAAGAAATTCGGAGTGTATTACACTTTGATGATCGAAGAAAACAATCAACATAACCTTGATTTTTGTCCTGCTTTGATGTGGTGTTTTCAGCTTCGGCTCACCTTTGCCACAATATTCGGCTATTGATGGTCTGTTTCCGGGTCGTAAGCACTGATCCCAGACTCATCGCCAGTATAATTATACGCTTTATGACATCCTGGTAGTCGGAAAGCATTGTTTCAGAGACACCACTCTGTTTTTCGAAAACTTTCACTGATTTTGGCAACTTTTCTTAGGCCTAAGGATCTTTCCAAATGGTGGCCACTGATCGTTCTGATATGCCAAGGATTTGGCATGAATGCCACCGACAGTCATACCAAATTAAAGAAAATATATTCCAACGAATGCATTTTCCGGCGAAATCTGAGTTAAGAAGTCTTACTATTTTTCCCACCGTAATATACATTCTTACATATACATATATAGTATGTCATACACACTGCAATAAGAATGATTAAATAAAAGACGATAAAAAGTCATTATTTCTCTGGATTTATCAAACATTCTTTCACTTCTTGCACAAACAGTATTCACTCGATAAACGAAACATTAGAGCGTTATCTGCTTACTCTCTTATTTCGAATTCAAGGCGCTCACATTGTTATTGCTTTCACTCGTAAATTTTTTCACAAGAGAGCACAGCGCTTGAAGATAGCGTGCAGAGAAATGGCATTTCGATGACGTCTACTATTTTATCTACTCAGTTCAACAAAAATTATGAAAGTGTATAGCAAATTTTTTTTTTATAGATTTTTTTTTTTCAATTTTGCTTTGATATGTTATGCTCAATCTTCTTGTAATCTAATATTCTTATGAAATATTTTCTCGTTTAAGAGTTTGACGAAATTTATCGCACGATTACCGTTAGTATGAACTGTGGGTGTACATATTATATGTTTTAACTGATTCATTCATGCGAATAATTTACTGTAMAAATTTCAGACTCTTTAAGCAGAATTTTCTGTTATCTTACGAGGTTCTTTTAATAACAGCGTTATTGAACTGTACAAAGGTAAAAGGTGTTCTATTTGTAGGGCATCTTCGAGTGGTTTAGTGGTCCAAAGAAATTATAAACATACAATGTTTGTCCTGAAAGGACGGAGTTCTTTCCGCCGCGACTGTACTTCAGAGTGTGCGCGAACCGACTGGATTCGGCAGATGGCGTTCCTAACTAACGAACTGGAGGACGTCACTAATGAATGAGCAAATCCATAGCGAAAACGATGCTCATTGTCGTTTTTGACATCAAAGGCATCGTTCACTATGAATTTGTTCCCCCTGAACAAACCGGCAACGCAAAGTTTTACGTGGAAGTCCGCAAGAGAGACGAATGGTCAATCGGGTCCGACAACCTATCGCAGCCGATTGGAAGTTGCACCACGACAACGCCCGATTCACACCGCTTTTCTTGTGAACAATTACCTTACCAAGGCCGGCATCCTAACGCTTCCGCAACCACCCTACAGACCAGATGTGGCCTGAAAAGGCCTATGAAAGGTAAGCATTTTGAGACGACAGAGGGGATCCAAGCAGCATACACCTCGGCTCTCAAGGCTTTTCCGGAGAATGCCTTCCGTGACGCCTTCAATGCCTGGAGATCGCCGCAGAAGGGACCTATTTTGAAAGTTTATATAGTATTTTAATGATCGATTCAATAAATTTTTTTAATCGATTCAGTCCTAATACTTTCCTGAAAAACCCTGTATAAAACTGTATGCGTTAGTTTTCTGATATCGGCGATTCCTGCAAATAGGTAACATTTTGGTGAGAAAAAGACATGTACTAATTTCAAACCTATGTCTCAAATAGTGACAGACAAGTTAGTATATACAATTTTTATAGGGTTTCTGACGTTTCAAGGCGTAAATATATTTTGACCGTTACTATTTCGTTGCCTGTGGGTGTACAACTGCACCAATACAAGTAAATTTGAAGTAATATCATATATGCTTAAAGAACTGAATGACTTGACGCCTTTAGGCTTATCAGCTATGTGTGCAAAACAAAGAGCATCAAACCCGATATATATGTGTAGATATGCTGTATATGCATATACATACATACATTTATAAAAAAAAACTTTACATAGTATATGTATATATATATGCGGTTCTGTGCTTTGTGCATGTATTTATCCATAATTATTTTCAGTTTCACCGCCCAGTCGCCAGTAAACACATTAACCGCTATCAGTGCCCATTGCGGATGTTGAGAGGAAACGACTAAATTTGGAAAATTCTTTTACATTATTCTGGAGAAAGTATAACTTTGATAAATTTTTTTTCTTAATTTAACGAAGTAAAAAATGCCTCGACTTCAGTCCGTCAAGCGCATTACTCACTTGCAACTGATTTTCATCTGTTGTCTAATATTTTACTGGATGCACAATGTGAGTGCCGCAATACGTCGCGTACCCGATCGTTCGCGAATACCATGTGAAAATCCTGAACCGCTACCAAATGGATT